CAATATATATTTGTTATTGGCATATATTGCATTAAAGCTAAATAAGCTATCAAATGGTTACAAATATTTTCATTAATGACTCGATTGATAATCAATACAAAGAAGATAGAACAACAATTTTATTTTCTTTGTTATGGAAAAATTATAAAACATTCTTTTAAATAAACAGGTGAAATGAATCTTATTGATTCAAGCTTTGCTTAAACCATTTATGCAAAAAAGTTACATCTAATTACGGCTCCTTAATTTTTTGAGGTATTTTTAAAAACAATTTTGTTTGATATGATTATCTTAATTTATCTGATTGAAAAATTTACACTCGATTAGGTGTAATTGAGATGTTTGATAGAAAATTATTTATTTCATTATAAAAAAAAACATTACATGCTTTAAATCAAGTAGTTATTTTTATTTATTTTTTTTGATAAATTTCTTAACTTTAAACATAATCTTGCTACATATATTCATATTTTAGATCAACAATATATTTTTTCATGATTTCAAAATGACACGAAATAAAACAAGATGATATGTTAAGTTGCAATAATAGATTACCAAGATAGTATTTTTGTTTTGCAAGGATTGAATGCATTAGTTTATATGTTAATTCAGATCTGTCACCTCCAATCTAACCCTTCCTAGTATATTTTTTTATATGTTATAATGAATACATAAATTTAATTTTTTAATACATCTGTATGCGTAAGTACAATATTTTCACTCATTTTGGATATAAAACTTTATTGTCATTCGGGATACGTCAAAAATCTTAACTGATTGTTGATAAATTAAGTTATCTCACAAATTTATTTGATAATTTAAAATTTATTTTTAGCTTTTTTTAATCTTCAAAATTATCTGCAATAATTACTATTTGAATTATTTGAAAATCAAACTTTTTTTAATACTGAAAGTATAATTTAATAAAAATAATATATTGTAATAAGTCATTGAAAAATCTAGAATTCTTTTCAAAAACTCTTTACTTAAATTGTAATGATCATGCGCCAGTGAATATATTGATTTTTATTATTTTTGAACAGAAAATTATAAAAAATTTAGATTTGGTATTATTTGTCAAATTGCAATCATAAAAAAAATTGATCAAAGCTTACATACTCAAATTTCAAATCATCAGATTTTAAATTTTGATTAAAAAAATTCTTGTATTGATTTTTCAAAATTTATTGTGGGAAGTTAAGAAAGCTCCCGACGCAAAATTAACTAGAGAATTGCCAATCTAATTAGTTTACACTACTTTCCTAGGAAAAGTTGGTGGAAAAAGAGAAGTGTAAATAAAACTAGAATACCATGTTGGAGGAGATGTGATAAAATCGTAATAACATTAATTGAAAAGTTACCGAGACACGGATCTGGTATCTGGTTTTTCTAAATTAATCTCAAACCAGAAGAATGTGTCAGTTAGATTAGTTTCGAACCTTCTAGTATAAATCTAGGGCTTCTATAATACATAGATAGAGTTCTGTAAGGCTAGAGTGGGTACGACAGGCTGCTGGCGGCAGACTGCGGTGACCAAGTGGTTGTCACATATGAGATTCTCGGCAAGTGAAATCTCGGAATTTCTAGTGATGGTTGGGGTTTTGAAGAAAGTCATAGACTCCGTAGTTAGGTTTTGAGTTTTTAGTATTTAAACTCTCAGGGATTTTGTATGAGACTCTTCTTTTGCTTGTTTATGCAACTTGGTTCTATTTTGTAGCTCTTACGTTTTTTGTGTGTAACATCAGGCCTGGATTCTTGCCGGTTTTGTGAGTGCTGTAGGGCCGGATCGGTAAGTTTGTGAAAGGAAGATGTGTGATGAATGTGTTGTAGTCTGTAGTGGGAAGATCTTCTCATTGTTGTGTTTACCTATATAACGTATGTGTGGGATAGCCGATGTTAGGACTGGATAGTATCCGATGGGCTGCTTTGGGTAGGATTCCTCCGGACATACTCAAGTCCGACCTTCTGATGAGGTTCAACAGTACCCGGACGGAGTAGTTTAGGAGATGACACGGGTTTCCCACTTATCATATATTGTTCAACCCTCACTTTGAGTCCAGATCCGGATGTCATTGTAGTCCTTGGTTGGAGTTTGTAGGGATCTTCAGCGTGATCTGCTGATTTGGATCTAACATCCCATAATAGTTGTGAGAAGTCAATTTCACCTCTTGTTTTAGGCTATTTTGTTTTTATACATTTTCATAGTGCCTCTTCTGTCAATTTAATGGCTGTAATGGTAAGAGCCATCCTTCCACAAGACCAAGGGCGCCCTCTAATATAGAGGTAAAAATTCTATTTTGTCACTTGTTACATTTGTGTACCCTTGGTTATGGAAAGCTAACAAGATCCGACTTGGACGTTTAGATCCAGTTTTTGGAGTATCATTTGTGAGGTTTCAATCTCGGGTCATGTGGGTGATACTTTGGATTTGTTGTCGATAAATACCACGTCTTGAAACTCCTTCTACTCCTTCTACTTCACTGAATTCCCGGAACGAACATTAGAGTCTCTATTAGTGAGTTTTTTGACAAAAAACTTGCTAAGTGAATGCTTCAAATAATATCGTGTTTTGGAATTTTTACATCTATCTATTTTTTTTACAAGATAAAATGAAATTTAGTTAAATCTAATAACTTATAATAATCATGAACTGCTTGATTAATTTTCTAAGTTTTACATTCATTAGTATTCATTATGTTCACAATGTCATTGATATGATTTGAATGAGCAATATTTTTTAAATATAGCAATGAAGCATATTTTATGCTCAAGTTATTAAATTTATATTTTTGGCAGAAGTTGTGACAAATATAGTATATTTTCTTATCCTATATCTGATTAGTGGTGTTGTAGAGATCACATTTCAAGAATATTGAAGTGATTTTAAACCATGTATTGCAAACATGAGTATTTAATGCAAACAAATCTGAATATTTTTTTCTTTGTTATTGCAAAGTAATGAAGTCTATCAACTCACGTTTATTGAGACTAAGTAGCTTATAAAGAATTAAAATGTACTGTTTGACAAATAGAATAAATGTTCTAATGATTATTTAGGATGAGTCCAAGTGAAAAAGAAGAATGTTTTTTGATAAACTACTCAATTTTTTGAGTCTAAATCAACTATTTGCACTGAAAATAAGTATGTAAAGCATGAGTACTAGTTAAATGACAAAGAGAACACACAAGCAAACCATTTTTACCAACATCATCATAAAAAAAATGAAGAGTATGCAAGCTCTTGTATCCAAAAAGTAATTGAGTGCCATTGGGAGAATGATGCAAAATTGACATCTTGCCACAACATAAAGTGAAAATTTTCAGTATGATCAATCTTGAAGATTCATTATAGTTGATAGAGCAATACAATTTAAGAATGCAAGCAAATGAAAGGATGTAATTAAAATATAATTTGACTCATTCATGACTGATGAAACATGGATTGTGACAGTTGGCTATTAATACAAAGAATTGCAAAATTCATTATAGTTCATTGAGCAATACAATCTAAAAATGCAAGCAACTGGAAGGATGTCATATAAAAGTAATATGACTCATTCATGATCACTGAAACGTAGACCGCATCAGTTGGCTATTTATACAAAGGATTGGAAAAGCATAAGACGCAAAGGAATGATGCGCACAAAAAATAGATGTTGTAACAGTTTTTGCCCAGCACCAAGCAAAATTGATGGCAAGAATATATTTAAAAGTTGCTAGAAGTACTTTCATAACATTTTTAACTTTGTGATCATATCTCACGCAACTTGGTGCATCATGTAAAAAATTTCAAAATGAATAATTGCAAGCCAATTGGATCATCACGTGATGTCAATGACACATTGTTAAAACCTTTTGTGAAGAAATTTGATTTCATACAAGATGAGATGAAAGAAATGCAGTATATGTCATTCCTTTTGGCAATGAATTTTTGATATTATCATACGACTCGACCATGCATTTGTAATCAGAATGATCCATGACCAAAAATGGCTAAAATTGAGGTCTATTGCGGTGTACACTAGCTGTACACCGCTATGTTACCAAAATTCATTTCACACATATAGAGGTTAATGCCACAATATTTCATAGATTGTAGATTAGTAGGAAAGATATGACATAGTTTTTACCGACGTAACACACTAGCGTGGCAAGCTCGCCTAGCGCGGCATGCAAAATTTTTGCAAATGAAGTGCACGGCCGAGTGTGTAATCGCACCTTACTTTCCTCCAGATCAGCCTTTGAAGTTCGCAAACGGACATAGAATTTTCGGGACAAGCAATGTCACCGAGATGTTGCATGATGGAATCGAGCGGATACGGCGACCTCGTTGGCTTTCGAGGCAGAAGCGAGGTTGAAGGATCCCGTTTACGGATGCTCCGGCTCTGTTTAGATGACGCAGAGAAGAAACTCACGAGACTCGGACAGCGACTTAATGGTACCTTCCACTCCCTCAACAATAGTTAATAATCTTCTCCGAAATGCTAGTTGGTGTATTATACATGAAGTTGCCAGGATGGTTACAGCATGCTCGGTGACGTTTCGGCCTAACAGGTGTCTGCGCATGACCATTTGTTTTTTCAGACTTACAGCGAGTGCGATCAGACGAACCTGACTGTCGAGGCTAGTCTGATGATGAAGCAGGGTGAACGGCATGGCCTAAGTTCTCGGATTTAAGCGTTAGAAGGGTTTGTTCCTTAAGCCGATGCGGATGGCCCTTAAGTTCATGGTCTTTCCCGAGGTAAAGGGACGAAGACATGAGTTTCAGACTCAAAGAGTGGCACCGTTCAGGTCAGTTCAAGTGTTTGAAATTCAGTTATGCTATAGTACAATCCATGCCCTGCTCAACGTCTACACCGAATTCGATTCTTCAAAGGAAGTGAAGATGTGGAATTCCGTTGGAACTGATCTGGAATCGGCGGCAACCCCCGACAATCCTTCAGATTCTACGAGTCCACAACCTCAGTGGTTTACTTACTACCATAGAATTGGTTCCTCAAATTCACCGATAGTTTGGACTTCGTTCATATCAAAGTTTTGGACTTACGAAGGAATGCGTGACAGATATTCTGTGCAATATAGCATCGCCTTTGTAGCGGTGAATGAGCAAATGGTTAATGTGATATGTTTCAGAAATTTTAGAATGTCAGACTCTAGGATTGTTGAATGCACAGAAAGTTACAGCAGGCAATCCGAACGCTTTCAGACAGATTCAGCTGGAGTGAGGGTGACCACTACGTGCATCTGAACGAAGGTTCTAAGTTATCATCTGACATAGACCTGCATCTGGATTGGATCCTGAAGTTGTTTGAAGAACTGCGGGCCAGATAGAAATCGATAGAATTCGGGTGCTTCACACCCGTGGGATATCATGGACGTGCATTTGAAGGAAATTTTTGGTAGTTTCAGTGATCAATTTGGTGTAGGCCGAGGATCGGACTTGCTGAAAGTGAAGGGCATCACTACACCTCTGCTCGAATGTGTCTTCAGAACGATCGCGGAGTTGTGGCGTTCAGCTCCGTGGAGACGGCTAAACTCTTCCGATCTGCTGGGAGTCAAAATCGGTAAAGCTTCGGACTGGAGTCCTCTGGAGCGGCAGCCTTTCAAATGTGCACGATTCTTGGGTGCCGGAAGTAAGGATCTGGGGGTGGACCTTCTGAGATCCGAGCAAGATGCTGTGGGGCCGACGGGAAAGCCCACGAAGGCCATCCCGGTGAATGGACTTCTACGAATCACCTTCGGAGGAGAAACGGATTTATTCCCCACCGCGCGAAGAATGATACGGTCCCTGGGTCTGGAAATTGCAGGCCCCAGTGCTTTCCCCGCCGTCGAAGTAATACTTCCCACGAAGTCCAAATCTCTAGTCGATAGAAAATACTCCTCGTACCGCACTCCTCATGTGCTCGAGCTGAAATGGCTGATTGCCTGCCTCAAAGCTCTCACACAAGTACATCCCCAGCTCCAAAAGATTGGGAAATTCGGAGGCTCGAACAAATTTGACGACCTTCTGCAGAATGTTGAGATTTCTCTCCCGAGCCCTGGCGAGGAAAACTCAGTCCCCGACGACGGGCCATCTATCACTGTCCGGGTGACATATCCTCCCAAGGTCACATTCGACTTCATCCCCAAATTGGACGAAACCGACGACCGTGATTCCTGCTCGGCTCTTTTACTCTCCCGTCAATGCGTGAGCTGCATGAAAGAGCTGCCGGCAGATGGAGCTCCGAGATGCGGCAGCTGCAAGGCTGTCTATTACTGCGGCATGGCGTGCCAGAAGAAGGACTGGAAGGAGATTCACAAGGATGAGTGCGCGCAGTATGAGAAGATGATGGAGCGGGCGGCGGAGCTGGAAATCAAGGAGTTGTCGTTCCCGGTCCTCGACTCCGAACGATCGTGCCGGTGGCTGGATCAGATGGGGCTCCATGGCAAAGGGATGTGGAGGAGAATCTGCAAGTGCTACCACTCGTGCCCCTTCGGTCACCTCCCTCTCGAAAGCTTGGTCGGCGGCTGGGCTCACACGGCGGCTTGGGGGCTCGAGCACGGGAGCTACCCTCCCGATGCACCACTGAAGATTCAAGAGCGACAAATCAGCAGCAGCCAAGGCAGCTCGAATTCCAGTGGCACGCACAGCGGCGCAAACAGCAGCGAGGGCAAATCCGGAGGACGGCCTGCAGCTGCGAGCGCAGCCGAAGGCGGCGGGGCCGGCTCGGGATCGAAGATGAACTGCAAGCTGGAAGGGAGCCCGGTGAGCAGCGTGAGCAACGGGGGGAGGAGCAACGGGACCATGTCCAGCGAGGGCAGCAGCGGGACGAGGTGCAACACGTATGGGAGCGAGAGGAGCACCGGCAGCGATGGATCCAGTCTCTCGAGCTGGGTCGATTACTACCATCTGCGGAGCTTGACATTTTTCAGCCCAGTGGCCGCCATTTTGACTTACCCACTCACGGTCTACAACATCGTCACCAGCATTTGCGCCTCCTCGAAAACGATTCTCGCCAAGCACAAGGAGGTTACCATCCACTATCTTGGGCCCCAGGGGGAGCTCGACTGGCTGCCTGCATTTGCCGAGGTGGGCCATCTGCTCAGTGCATTTCACAGTGGCAGCCTGCATATAGTTATGGTTGGGCCCGAGGTTCCGAACTCTCTGTCGGGGGAGGCCACGGGCCTGGGGAAGAAACTGAGGATCACGTACGTGCAAGGGCTGTATCAGGAGGAAGCGACTGCCTTGTTCCCACCCAATCTGGTGGTGGCTCTCAATGCCGGGCTCGATCGCTCCGGGACCTGGGCTGGTGATTTGAACATTATAAAGCAGCAGGCGGTTCCCACTTATTTCACCGATTATGCCGAGTCCTGCTGCTTGAACGCCAAGCAGGTGTTGCTTGCTGCCGAGCTCCCGTTGACACAGCCCATTGTTCCGAATGCGTTCAGATCTCCTGTAAGAGCTCACGTTCCTTTCACCGATGTGCCTTGGTTCACCAATGGCTTCCTATTTGGAGTCAACACCTGACACCTTGGTGACAGTCTCGATCTGTGATCTGGGTACCGTTAGTTCCTGGTAGTCCCCTTGTGAGTTGGCACTTAAATTAATCTTCAATATGTATAAAATACATTGCGTAAAAACCTACAAGCTCAAAATCATTTCTGAATTCAACATAGTAAGTACCATGCATTAGCTCCTGTTTTCCTGTAGTCATTATTTTATACTCTACTTTCAAAACTATTCATTCAGATTTCTACCCCTAAAATTTGTCTTTATGACATCGCACACCATTTTTATGAACTAGAATAGTTTTCATGAAACCTTGTTGAAACTCTCCGTATTGAATTCAATGATTAAAAAATTCCTTCTTTATAAGTTTTAACTGTATTCTTATTTTTTCAAAATACTTCATCAAAAGTCAATGCAGCACTATGCAAATTTTTTTATAATTAGAAAACATCTTAAAATTCGAATTTTGAATAGTTTCATAGATGAAATTTTAATTGCTTTGTGTGAGATACATCATGTTCATAATTTCAAAGTAGATTTTGAGTAGATTTTAAATCTTCAAAGAATCATATATTTTTTTAGACTTCAATCATACAAACTTTATTGTATGATAAGTTCTCCAAAAAATAGAATAAAAAAAATCCAAAGTATATCTTTTTGATTAATTCATACCTGCTTCAAACTCTTATATGTTAAAAAGGTTTATTTAATTAAAATTGTCTTATAATTTCATTGTATATTACAATCTAAACGTAAGAACATTAGAAATTTTAATGTGTTACTATATTGTACTAACACTCATAAAATGGAGAAAAGAAATTTGTAATGAGGTTAGATTGATAGATCAATTATTTTATCAAACTTTCAACTCATAATTAAAATTATTTCTATTATTTTGGTAATAATTTTGATATGTTTATGCTTGTAAGCTTCAAACTCCCCACCCCTTTGCATTTAAGTCCGGATGGGGGTTGTGAGCGAACAAGTATAAAACACTAACTCTCATGAAACTGCACTTAGACAAAAGCCAGTCGGACTACCTCTATTATTGCCAATGAACCCTAGCTATCATATGCTAACTCTTCTCTCTCCTCCCCCACAAGAGTAAACAACATACAGAAAAAGAAAACTGCCCCCGCACACCACCGACGCACTCCAATAAAACCCACGAGCATCCGCAGCCACTAGCCTGCCGAGCCAACCCTAACCTTAATTCGAAACCTAATCATAAATCTGAGTCTAACCCTAAATCCTCTACACTGAGCTGCCAGTCGCCACACTTGTACATTCCACATTCATGACCACGCCGACTTCCGCCGTCGGAAATCTTTTCCCGCGCACCGCCAAAGTCATCCTGCCGCCGAAGGCTCCTGCGCCGAAGACACTCTTCCGCATCTTTGACCATCTATAAAAGTCACTTCCGACACTCACAACTCAGCGATCCTTTATCTGTTTCAAGGTTATTTGGGCTCGTTGAAACAAACGTGTCGAGCTCTTTCCAACAAAACCCTAACTAAGTCAAGGCATTACAAATTGAAAAAGTTATGACGGTTTTACTGTTCCGCCAAAGGCCTTGCCCCGAAGGCCCCCTCCCGCCGAAGGCATGCTACCAAAGGCCTTGCCCCGAAGGCCCTTTACCGAAGGCCTTTCACCTAACCATATCAACCAGTTTAGACACTCATAACTCAGTGATACCTTATGCGTTTACCGATAAAGACTGATCATTTACCTCATCACTTACCGATACCAACACGCTAGTTAGAACGAGCGTGTCGAGTTCTTTCCAACAAGACCCTAACTAAGTCAAAGCATTACGAATTGAAAAAGTTATGACGGTTTAACTCTTCCTCCGAAGGCCTCCGACTAAGTAAGGACTTAGTCGTCTTAAGTCGTCTTAACAGATAAAATAACTACCATCTGACTAACACTATCTAATTATTTTTTATTTTTTCTCTTTGATTGTTCTAAGATTTTATACTTTTCTATTGTAATTGAAAGTCAAAAGGTGAGCACATAATTGAGCTCACAATGCTTATAAAGTATAGCTTACGATTTCAAAAGGATGAACTCCGGGTAATTAGGTCATTTGAATATGTATTTCAAGGAAAGAACTTCTAAATGTATAGCTCAGGGTGGGTTGGGCACGATATGTCCAGATTTTTAACTCTGAATCGTACTGTCCACACACTCTATATCTTGTAAGACACTGCTGGAGATCATCTGGCCGGGCACACACACTCCAGGCTTGGCAGCCTCCAGACACCTTCAAATCTCTGGCCGGACAATCTTTTTTCAACTTTAACATAGACTTGCGGTCGAAATCGGATAAAGAGAGGAGATCCAGTCATCTGACAATCACAGCGTTGATGCTCTCACACATCAGCTCTTTGTAGACGTTATCAACGTGTGCATGCACGCCCTATTATACGATCAACTTTCATGCTTCCTGCTCTACTATGTCTGTACTGATGGAACCAGACCAATCCACGCTCTCGTAACAATGGTTGCATACCTTTTCGAGCTATCACGATTGTGACGTCCTAGGCCAATTTATTGAAGAGTTCTGAATGGAAGGTATGAATACAAAGTCCAAGTGAGGCCCAATAAAGAATGTGCACTGGTATCTGAGAGCGACGTCATCCGAGAAGGCTCTTGGTTGAATAAATATATTTCTTAATCTGTGAATGATAATCATCATTCGCAACGTAAGCTGATATTTGATACTTCGTAGCTGCTCGTACACTGTTTGTCTCTGTTTTCACAATGGATTAAAATTGAAATAATTTCACTATGAAATAAAACGGGTTTGCTGATAAAAAGCAAGCTTTTTACAACAATAGAATTTGCAAATGACTGCTGTATCTTCGAAAAGATACTGATTCATCACAAGCATGCCTCGTGAAACCTGTCGCACGAGGCTTCACGCCAAAATCTCCTCATCTCAACCGCAAAATAAATTGAATTCTAAAATCCCTCCTCAAAAAGAATCGTAATAGCTCGTGTCAGAACTTTCTCATGGTTGGAGTCCAATTCTCGCTTTAGGATAGTACGTTGAGGCAAGTACCAGTTAAACGGATGTAAACAGATATTTTTTTGTGTTCGACGGCGAGCTTGATCGAACACAGGAAGTAATGGTCGTGGTTATAAAAGACATGACATTTTTAATGTTTTGAACTGATGCGTAATCGAATACGGTTCACAGGAAGTACTGGTCGTGGTTATAAAAGACATTACATTTTTAATGTTTTGAACTGATGCGTAATCGAATTAGATGGTTGTACTTCCAAAGAGGAAGTCATCGGAAATGCATTCGGCTGTTGAGTATCTCATGGGTCCATAATCGGTAGCGGACAAGGTCCGTGTCTGGATTCAGCCAGAGTATACATTGTCATGCACTCCCTGTTCTGAAGACGAGTCGAACTTAACAGATGTGCTAACAGAAGATATTCCAACTACTGCATATGTTGACCTCTATGCATCATTCGCTTTTGTCTGCCTGTCAAGTCTGCCGAAAGTCCTGATACACAGTTAACAAGCATTGAATAGGGACTAACCATACTCAGTTCATCTTGAAAACTTAAGAATGCTTGAAGAAAATATTTTATTTCATAAACTTCCAGTTCTCACCAGATTCATTCATCCAATTGTGTGTTTAGTCTAAATAAAGTCTGTCTGCTCTTGATGAAGTTCGTATTTTCCTCCCTTCTGCATCACCTGATACCATCTTTGTAAACACTGAGCTCCCTAAAGAAACCAATCCAGCCGTACATCTACCTTTCAAGCGAACTGGGCTCTCAATGCCTTCACTACATCGCCTGATACACCGAAGGAGATCTCGAGCACCTCGTCAGAGATGGGTGCGCTGCTGTTAAACAAAGTGTTAGGTAAGCGGACAAGGCCAGCGTTGGAGCTGCTGAATGCGGCCAGAGCTGTCACCGTCTTGTACTTGTCGTTGTTGATCTGGAAGTGAACGAGACCTTTGGGGAAAGCAAATATATCGCCCTTGTACAACACGTTCGTGAACAACTTGTTGGTGGTATCGACCAATCCAACTTCGAGAGTTCCCTCGATGATAAACAGGAGCTCGGTTCCACGAGGATGGGTGTGGGGTGGGTTCACGGTGCCTGGTGGGTATTGAAGCAAAGCCATAGAAACACCGAGGCCGTCGACTGCGAGAAAAGGAGCACTCGCTGGTGCAACGACATTGACTGTAGTGACAGTGGCGAAAGGTGAAGCAGCGTTGGCCATGACGTTGCGCAAGAACGTGTTGGTGAAGAAAGTGCCATTGATGTCGGCTGCATTCAATCCTGCTGGGACCTGGAAATCCTTGGTTAACTCTGGATCAGAGGCCTGCACAGACTGGAGGGTCAGAGCACCTGCAATGCAAATCAGCATAGCGAATGAAGAGTGTAGAAGTCGACCCATTTTCTGGAATGAGGAGAAAACGTGTGAGAAAATTTGTGAGTGAACCTGTCAATCTGTTTTTGAAGATTGTGAAAGTGGTGCAGCCACTCGCTGTGTTTGTATTTTTTTCAGATTTTTTCCAAACACAGATTTGTGTTTCAGTGATAGATGATCAAACTAGTAATGTGGAAAGTGGCTTGCTTCTTAGGAAATGAAAGCGTGCCTTTATACTGGCAGAAGACCGTGCTTTTGATCCATGTTCTCAGAATTAAACTGCATCAATCAAGGCCAAAGTTGCACTATTCATGGCACTATGCATCGGAATTTGTCAAAATGGGATCCGAATCAGCAGAATGTCCAAATAGGTTGAACTGTTCATTTTTCTGATGTAATTCCGCCTGTTCTAACGCAGTCTAAGAATTTCATCAGACTTAGTCCTCACGAGATGCCAGGATCTCACAAATCCTTCATATTTTAGTGTACAGAAGTAGTATTTTTTAGATATTCTGAAGCTCAATCAGATCGTTGGAAGGTTGTAACACAGAAACAAATATCACTGGTCAAAAGTGAAGTACATTTATTTTTACAGGTTAATCAAATAGACCTACTATAAGTTATATGTTTTACTAAACTAATTTTATACTAGTCACTTGTTCAGTTTTGCATAAGGACGTCTCATGATGACTTCCTAGGGTAACATTTACAAGATTCCCTTCTCCAATTTAAGAGAAGTTATTTTTACATGACAACACAGCATATATGCACATGTTCACACTGCTCCACTCTGTGATTTCGGGGCAATCACATGCTTACACACGTGATAGTCATGAATAGCGCAATAGCGTTGCGAAAATAAAGCCACGAATGGATAGCCGGGTGGTTCCTTTGGCACCAAGCCACTCTCTCAGATAAAATAGAACGAATAATCTAGCTTTGACACACAAATCTGTGAATTAGGAGACCCAAAATTAACATATTCTCTAGCTAGTGTAAGAGAAGCTTCTGGCTGGACGAATTCTACACCTTCAAAATCTTCAAAATTTCACCGAAAGTTAGAGTGAGTTTCACTGCATTTTTCAAGAAGGGTAGTTTTATAATCTCGTCGTTAACTTTGTTCTTCTTATTGATGGTTCTCTTACGTTCCAGAATGTCGGGATTCTTGGGACCTGCACATGAATCTACTTGGCTATCTCTTCAATTGCCTGTTTCCTTGTATGGATCATGCAGCTGTACAATGATCGCTGCCATCATCCTCTAGAGAGGGGAATGGAGATTGAAGAATGTAGAATGTTGATTGCCACTGGATAATACGCTCAAGAGGAATGTTGATTTGCACAAAAATTGGAAAAGGAAACTCTGATGCAGAATCTCGCTATTTTAAACATTTGGTGATGAAATCAGTCATCCGGAGCTCAAATTGAAAACACCTCTGACCAATTCACGAAATATTTATCCTGAAGAGCAGTCTCCTGAAACCGTCCTTGCTAACTCACCTCCGTATCTGCATTATGAGCACAAGTGACTCAAAAGATCAGTGAGCAGACCATGTTGGCTTGGTACTAGCAAGCATTTACGTTTCCAACTAACACTCTAGTGCAAATTACTCAGTTCCTCTTATATACCTAATAAGGCTTGAAAAACTAACTTGTTAGTTAGTTTTTTAGTTATAACTTATTAGATAGCCATTGAAATTCTATACCTCAACACAGTTATTCTTCCACTTGTATGTTCAGTCCGAATATAGTCTGTCTGCTCTTGATGAAGTTGTTATTTACCTTCGTACTGCACCACCTGAGACGGTCTTTATAAACATTGAGCTGTCTGGAAAAACCTTCCCAATTATTCATATACCTTACAAGCAAACTGGGCTGTCAATGCCTTCATTTGTTTTGCTGCAACCGAGGACCCAAAAATGGAGGAAAGTGAACAGGTGCATATATGCATTGTCGTCTTCTATATTTTAACATTCCTCTGTTTATATTCATGCATTTTACATATATGTTTTTCTTTTCTTGATAAAAAATATTTCATGAATATTTTCACTAATAATGTATAGATATGATAAACAAAATATCAAAATGAAAAGAAGATGGTATACCGGCTTCATCAATGGAAATTCAATTCGTTTAGGACAATCAAAACAAGGCATAGTCTCGATGGCATTTCAACAAATAGGAGGAAGCATGGGCATTCTCGAAGTCGTCAAGCAAGGGAGTCGCTTCTTCACAGAAGACGACAAGAAGGTGGCAAGAATGAGAATAGACAAGAAGGATGTGGAGGAGGAGGAGGTCCAAGCGAAGGTGGAAGAAAGAAAAGACGGAGCCAAGAAAGAAAGAGTCTTGAAAGAAGAGGAAAAACACGAGGAAGAATCAGAGGAAGAAGAAGGGAGAAGGACGGGGAGGCAGCGCGTCCACCACAAGGCTAATTGTCCTTTCGGATCTAATGCTTCACATTCATGTGTAGTTCCGTTAGTGTAATTTGCCCGAATAGAGTTGTCGATATCATAATACTAGAGGAAGGGATGCCAATCAGGTTCTTCTGAAGTTCCAGCGGTTTCATCTCTTGTGAGCGAATTTTCAAACTAGTGGCGCAAGTGTGCGGTCCATTTACGCAAAGGCGAGATAGAAGCGTCCTCTGGATAAGGACATATCAAGTGATGGAATGCCCGAGGAAAAGCGTCAGCGTGTTCCCGCATTAGCGAGTGTGATTGTTGAAGCGGTCAAAATGGACAGTCTGCAGAAACTCGGTTCCACTCTCGAGCCTTTACTTCGTCGGGTGTCACGGGAAACAGGTAGAATTGAGCGTGTTCTTGTGAAGTTAACCCCGGCCAAAGTGTGTTTCAGATCTTCTCCCAAAAGGATACAGGGTTCTGATTCCAGAAGTCTGCGGCTTCAATTTAGAAACAAGTTGGCCTTGCCTCTTTTCACGGGAAGTAAGGTTGAGGGAGAACAAGGATCTGCGATTCATGTTGTGCTGCAAGACGCTAGCACGGGCCAGGTCGTGGCTGTAGGAGCAGAATCGTCTGCAAAGCTTGAAGTTGTCGTTCTCGAAGGGGACTTCTCTGCTGATGATGAGGAGGACTGGCCCCAGGAAGACTTCCAGAATCCCATGCTTCCTGCTATTTGTTAAAATGCCATCGAGACTATGCCTTGTTTTGATTGTCCTAAACGAATTGAATTTCCATTGATGAAGCCGGTATACCATCTTCTTTTGATTTTGATATTTTGTTTATCATATCTTAACATTATTAATGAAAATATTCATGAAATATTTTTTATCAAGAAAAGAAAAACATATATGTAAATTGCATGAATATAAGCAGAGGAATGTTAAAAAGATCACACAAATTGTTAAAATATTGACAATGTTAACATGACTTGTAAAAAAATAATATTTTAACCAGTTCATTCAAAATGTCATTTTGTAGTAACTTTCCACCTTCCTTGCCACGAGTACATCAAATACTACAAAAATAACTCTTACTAACCTTTCAAGTGCTTGTAAAAGTACCTGGTGGCGCTCCTCTCATCTGAAAGCTTCATTGGACATCCACACCGGATTAATCGTAATTACTCCTAGAGCCAACAAGACTATTCACTTGGAGGTAATATTTAGTTGTGTGTGCAAAAGATCTTTTTCTCACGCGAGATGCATCTTTTACCGTTTTAACATTGGCTGTGGTCTTTTTAACATTCCCGCTTAATTATATCCAATTTCCACAAGAAATTCTTTTGGAAGATGTAAAAGATCTATACAAACATGTGATGCATCACATGTTTTGGGTATGAGTTGGAAATTTATTTTTTGACTATATAATTATTTTGGCCGATATACATTTAATTTGACTTTTAGTTACAATGTAAAGTCTATGTTCACGTCATATATTAATCAACTTGAACTTTATGATTAATTTACAATCTAAAAACAAATACTATAGATCTTCAATTATACATACGTAGACATGATATACTTTATAATATATTTTCTAATAAAATTTCATCATTCTTCATATTTTATATCCATGAGATGAAATTTTAGTATCAGACCTGATTTTAAAATTATTGCATATTATCATCATCTAGATTCATTTCAATTTGTAAAACAATAATTTTCAAAAAATTGATAAGCCAATCAATACTTATAAAAGACCTGTAAAGTATGGAGAGATAAATATTTTGCATCATTTAGATTGCAAAACATGATCCTAAAATATTCCTTTTGATTCAATTTGAATGAATGAATTTTTCAGGTCAATAAACCTACAAGTCCAAACGTAATACCTACCGTGAACACGAGAGTACACAAAACACAAGTACAATCACAGTCAATACTTGACATATGTGATTTCTCCCTTTTAAAATACGTGTACGGAATGCTTTGAGTTTTAATAAAAAAACCCCCTAAAAATGTATCAGAGAACTTTTGTGAGTACTATTATAAAATGATAGTTAAGAGAGTTTCACAAACTTAAATGAACTCATCCGAGTGAAATTTTTAAATAGATTACAGTGTGTTATAATCATCTTCTATAGGTCAATTTTAAAGTAACGTAGATTTGAGTAAATTATATCATTTTAAGTAGTTTCTAATCAGATCTTGAATTTTTTCAAATATTTCCGTGATTATTAAATTGATATTGAAATAATGTAAATATATATATATGAATGATGACAACATTCTTATGTAGATAATTATAATTTTTTTAGAAATAAAATTTGTTAGAATATGAGTTGAAACATCACGGGGCTTGAGTTTCAACAATAGGTCAAGCAGTCATCCTACCTTCACCTAAACTATAGCTTAATTCAGTGGCTCTTTCTAGAAGACGAGAATGTAAGACTCAATTTCTGCACTTCAATGATTTAAACTTGCAATAACTACTGACAATGAGTTATTTTGAATTGAAAAAGTTTTTTTTTTAATAAAGGATGTACACATGCTGCTGTGTATAATATGCAATAGAACATTTGTGTAAAATGTGTGTATGAAGAAAAACTCATATTCCTTTACTTAATAACGATTAGGTTGTGTATAATATGCAATAGAACATATGTGTAAAATGTGTGTATGAAGAAAGATCTCATATTCTTTTACTTAATAACGATTAGGTTGTGTATAACGGTCAGTTTCTTGAGATTAAAGTTTGTATGCAATCATTTCTACTGAACGGGATTATGAAAGGTATTTTTTTGATTCTAAATTTTTCATGCTCATACAAAATCAGTCTTATCTTTAAGTTTTTCCACTCCACTGCTGTCTAAAAATGTGTGTTGTCAAGGCCCTGATCAAGGAGTTGATATGCAGCAAGGGTTCGCATAACTGCTTGAAAGTAAATCACAGTGTATGGAAACCCTTAGATGCAGCGTATTGTGGACCTAAACTACCTCTGGTGGAGAGGATATTACCACACAATAATCAATATTAAAATATCATACAGTTCTAATTGTGAAGATTCTTCAGCACCAGTCTCAGTCCTTACCAAATTTCCGGGGCATAGTGTGCAGCTCTATTATGGACCATCAGAGTTGACCAAATTGAGTATGCACTCTGCACCTGAGTTTAATAACGTGTGAAGAACAGTCATAGCGATGTACTTTGAATCAAAACTGAAATTTCGAATGCGTCATACTTTATCGAAAATGAGTCCATGATGTATTTCATGTCCGTCTAGCGATGGACTTTGAATCAAAACTGAAATTTCGAATCGGTCATACTTTATCAAAAATGAGTCCATGATGTATTTCATGTCCGTCTAGCGATGGACTTTGAATCAAAACTGAAATTTCGAATCGGTCATACTTTATCGAAAATGAGTCCATGATGTATTTCATGTCCGTCTAGCGATGGACTTTGATACAAAACTGAAATTTCGAATCGGTCATACTTTATCGAAAATGAGTCCATGATGTATTTCATGTCCGTCTAGCGATGGACTTTGAATCAAAACTGAAATTTCGAATCGGTCATACTTTATCGAAAATGAGTCCATGATGTATTTCATGTCCGTCTAGCGATGGACTTTGAATCAAAACTGAAATTTCGAATCGGTCATACTTTATCGAAAATGAGTCCATGATGTATTTCATGTCCGTCTAGCGATGGACTTTGAATCAAAACTGAAATTTCGAATCGGTCATACTTTATCGAAAATGAGTCCATGATGTATTTCATGTCCGTCTAGCGATGGACTTTGAATCAAAACTGAAATTTCGAATCGGTCATACTTTATCGAAAATGAGTCCATGATGTATTTCATGTCCGTCTGAAAAACGACTTTCTTTGCCTAGACTACTTACGATCAGTTCACATGCCTCGAATGTGATAATCAGACAATCAGACAGTATAAAGCGGGTTGCCATTACCTTCAAACACAAAACTAGCTCTGAGCAAGTACCAGCAAGTACTGATTTTCAACCTTCAAACATCAAAGCAATCACATTCTTATCAACGGAGTTGCAGACCGAAAACAGAGTCCATATTTCACAGTAGGGACAACTAACCTAAAGTTTGAGCTTAAGAGTCACATCCCACTATGGCTGATTATAATGATATGTTCGGCGATGATGATTGTCCTCCGTAGCTAACAGCCACTCAAGAAACCGAATGTCACCAAAATCAGCGGCATCCTCCTCCTTCCAAATCATTTTCCAACAGTTGATTACGCATGCGACTTTGTTCTAAAGCACTCTCTTGTATATAAACAACTGGAAGGAGAGCACGTGGATGAGACTCTTTTTCTTGGCTAGATTCTAAAGAGATTGTCTTAGATTCTTCTGTCACAATGCGAGCTCATGATGCAGACATGATCTTGGACAGTGGGGTTTGATCCGGATCAACCCGGATGAACATGTGCTGCTCTTTCCCGCTGTCACGAGGCTGAGGGTTTAAAGCTCCTATGCTGACTTAGCTATGGAGGTATGATCTGCTTCGTGTGTGCAAAGCGCAAAGATGGAGAAATGGAACGACAGCACATCAAACTGACGTTGGTATATTACATTTGGGAGGCTGCTCGTACAAGGCTTGGACTGTAACCTCTTCATGGACCTCAAATTGTGCATGTGGACCAAATTGTGCATTGTACATTGATGACAACAATGACTGCACAATCTACAAAGTTGTTCATGGCAGATCGTAGTTGATTTCTGTTCGTGCTCCTTGGACTATACTTCACTACATCATTCCAGTTGAAACAAGGCAGCGCAGCTGTTGTAAAGGGAACACCTGATCGTGCACGAAGTATTCGACGGTGTGGTTAGCTGTGCGATTTTAGCCCTGACATTCATGATCCAGCTCTTCTTTGTCTCACAAAACAAAACAGGCATATCTAGCATTGATTTTCACCTTAATTACTGTAAGGTGAAAATGATTCCGTACGAACCTGAAATTCTGAGAAAAATAAAATCAGGCAGAATCCCATTCAATAAAACTGATTGCATACAAACTGATTCGTACCTCCTTGACAAAGAACTGATCTTTATTCATAACCCAGGGTTATGAATAACCCTGTACTTCAGTACGTGAAAGACTATGTGATCTTCCTTCATACACACATTTTATATATTTGTTCAATTTCATATTGCACACTGCACCATGTATACAACATGGTGCAGTGTATAATAAACATATTCTCACATGAAATGACCAAAAAATCAATTGCAATGCGAACAAAAAATGTTTGATGCATTATAAGACTGTATACTTGTATTGACAGCTTCCTCATAACAATTAAATTCTATTTTTTTTATATCTAGAAATATGTATTCATTCTTCGTATATGCATATGTTGTCTCATTGAAAAAATTCATGAATAGTTTCATATACATGTCAACCAATTCCTTCAAAGAGATCATGAACAAACATTAACAGAAAATGTGAATCAATGGAAATCGATTTTTTGAGAACTATGTAGACAACGGATAGTTTTCAAACCAATTAACAAACATCATCATTAGGCATGGGCAACCGACATCTTAAATCATCGTCTGAGAATTATTTTTTTCATTCTTCCCTTTCTCTCCCTAAAAATTCTTCTGGATAACTTGCCTGATATCTACCAAGTAAGAGAAGTCAATCAGCGTCATAAAGAAACCTCTTGTTTTTTTAAATCTTCCTTGAATTTTCTAGAGATTTAATGTGTTCTACTGCCACCTTCCGTTTTCTAGGCTCC